GAGAGGAGACGGAGAAGGGAGAGAGAGAGAGAGAGACGAGAGAGAGACGAGAGAGAGAGATAAGAGAGAGAGAGAGAAGAGAGAGAGAGAAAGAAGAGAGAGAGAGATGAGAGAGAGAGAGAAGGCAGCAGAGAGAGAGAGAGAGAGAGAGAGAGAGAGAGACGAGAGAGAGAGAGAGAGAGAGAAAGACAGACAGGGACAGAGAGACAGAGCAGACAGACAGAGCTAGAGAGAGGAGGAGACCCTGAGAAGATGATGAGAGCAGGAAAGGAGACGAGAGCAACGAGAGAGATGGAGCAGAGAGATGATGAGCGTGCGCGAGAGAGAGAGAGACGAGAGAGGAGAGAGCTGAGAGAGAGAGGAAGAGAGAGCGAGAAAGAGAGGAGAGAGACGACGAGAGACGAGCGAGGAGACCCCGAGAGAGAGAGAGCAGAGACAGAGAGAGATGAGAGAGCGAGAGACGGTGGGTAATCTCTCTTAAGTCCTACTCGCCTCTCAACGGCTATGTAGTATTAGTGTACATCGAGGACAGGCGCATATGCTGGTCGCATAACACTGGCGGATAATCATACAAAACACGGTACCATAATAAATTCATCCCCGCACCACGCACGGAAGCTATGTCCCCTTATCTCTCCTCCCCTTCTCTCTCTGGTTCTCCAATTATTGACTGCTTATAGAAGCGTCAAAGTATGCGGCTCTCGCGCTACCCGTCAACTTTTACGTTCTGCCATATAGGCCACGTGACAGCGGTATATCAATAGTTTATCTACGAGCACTAAACAGTCTCCGCGAATCGGGTTGCCCTGCGCTGTTCCAAAACGAAGCGAAAAGCTGGCTGGTGGTCGCCGCAGGCGTGAGTGGACCATGGGCTAAAGTGTGTAGCTAAAGAATGACAACTCACGTGTAGCTAATATTATTTTGTGCTGTCCAATGTTTATTTAGGCGCCAAACAAACCGCACTCCTCACGTCATACTTATTACAGACCTAGATAATACACAATTGAAAAAGTTCGGCATTTCCGAGGAAAACGTTTCTACATAGCCGATCGGTGTTTCGGATTTTCTTGTGATAGATGCCGTATTTGGCAAAAACGAAAACCAATTTCGTGAACAAAACTGTAACTTCTAATCACGTTGCGAAAACATGACACGTTAGGCAAGCAACTCGTTCTCCGCATGAGAGCAAAGCTTAGTGAGAACACAACCCGAAAATAAAAGAGCTTACTGTTTGGCAACATAACAAACACGTTAAACGCGGGCAGTTACTTTGATGAGTTTTATGTGCTTCTTTTTTTTCATGCAAATAAAAAAACGGCACACGTATAACTATATGATGTTCACGAGATCGGTGCGTGATATCAAGCGTCTCTTGGTCGGGATGCCGGATTGAGGTTGGATATGCCCTCTTACATTCATATGCTTTAGTCTCCTCTACATGCCAAGGTTATCCCTCACGTAAGCGCCCTACACGTTACGCATAAACTTCCGTTCACTTCAATTCAGAATCGAGAACAAATAGCGAAAACATCGCGAAAGAGTTGAACGTCCGCAATTATTGTATAAATTGTATAAATTATATTGTATAAATATATTTTATAAGTTGTATGGAATTATAGTTATATAAATTGTAATAATTAATATTGGATAACTCTCTCTCTCTCTCTCTCTCTCTCTCTACTTTTCCCTTCTCTCCACCCTCTCCCCCTCTCTCTCCGCCTGGCTATATACTCGCGATCTCTTTCTCCATTTCCCTAAAGATATAGCCAGTAAAGTACGTTTAGTGAGCAAAGGTTCTCCATAGCCTTCAACTCAATCTTTTGCGTTAATGCGAATCTAGCCCTAATCATCTGATCCACCACTTCTTGATATGAATTTTCGCCGTATCCACTGCATAGACTTACAATGTAGGTTGTTGATTCGATTAGGCCCCAACATCTTTCATTTCTACGAGTAGCGAACCTTATTTCTCGATGCTCAGTGTAAGTAATACATGGCATGAACTTTTTATGCGGTGTGTCATTGGAATTTCCGTTGGGTGTGTCTTTCATGTATCCTTGCCTCTCGCTCGTTCGAATGCATATATACCGGCGTTGTACATTATATTATGAAGGGAATTCGCGCCAATAATGGCAAATGATCGCATGTATAGTATAACATTTATCGATCCCCATACTAAACCGTAAGTAGGCAACATACATGTATATCTGCGATGAATTTAGGGGTGATATCATTAGCAAAATAGCATTAGTCATAGGAAATTCGCAAGCCATTATTCAATCAACATAAATCGCACGGCTGAATACTCTCCGTGTCTCGTTCCATTAACCTACCCAACAGATGGCGCTGCGATTCAATGTAGCATACAGAACTACTGTTGATGAAACCCGTAATTTGTGGTTGTAATATGTTTTGTGTGTTTTTTATTAGTACCGCGTATTAGATCATTGTGTCTTTAATAGGTCATACATGAGTATACGCTCCGAAAAGACCGAATTTTTTATGCTTTCACATAACAACTTTGTTATCACTAACTAGCATGGTTGCGTGATTAGGAACTTTTGCTACATTCCTTCTCCCACAGATGGCGCCTCAATCCCAGCGACCGACTTTTGTGCCTCTTGCGCCCATAACTTGTGACTAACCACGCAAGTGAAGAGTTAATTTTGATGCAGAGTTATATTGTTGTTCTATGTGTTTGCTTAACGCCTAAATTAAAGTAGAGCTTGTATTCGTATTTGGTCCTGAAAATTAACAATCAAGATGGCGTCTAAGAGGGCCAATAATTAGAATGTGTTCTTGACTAGCTCTGAAACTTAATTTAAAAACATTTAATAGGTATCTTTTTCATACACGTTTTTGGGTTAAAAAGCTTGCTCTTTAAGATGGCTGAAAGCGATGACGAATATTAACTCTGTGTAAACACAGTCAGATGTTTTTTTTAATCCAATACAATGCACCAGCTTTACGTCAAGTCTAGAAACACTTGAAAAGTGTATGAATTTAGTTGCGTTGCTATTACGGTTTATATTTCACTTAACTTATAGAGCTATAGACTATAATAATATATAACATAACTTTTATTTTATTTAAACATAAAATTTTGCTTAAAAACCAAAACCAGACACTCGGTTTAGCAGGTCACACACACGCTCGCGTACACGAGCACAAACACACATACATACACACGCACGCGCGCACGCGCGCGCACACACGCACAGCACACACATAAGTATATATATATATATATATATATATATATATATATATGTATTATTATTATTT